TCAACTAGAATCTGGAAAAACAGTAAGTCTTATGATAATAAATAGGTAGAATAAAATGGCAAGTATCAGAATATCATTATTATGGATTAAATTGAAGATGACAAATATAAAATCCCTTGATATACCTCAGAATTCTGATATCCAAATCTTTTAAAAATATATTTGGTTCTAAAAAATAGAATGATTTTAAAATAAGATGCAGTATGTTGCTGTATTAATTTTCTCCATGTAAATATTTAATGTCTGATTCCATGAATGATTTGAAGTAGCTGGAGGAATTTATAAAATAAAATCAGTATCAGGAAAATATGAGAATGAAAAATTGAGAGTACAAGACTATTCAAGCCATTTTATTTATATAGAGCTAAAATTGGGTCACAAATTTGATCTGAACTTTCTAAGATCAAAACTAAAGCAGAAACAGATAAGTTGTCAAATCCAGTTGTTCCTTAAAAATATAGTACTTCTGCCCTAACTGGTTTGGCTCAGCAGATAGAGGGTCAGTCTGCGGACTCAAGGGTCCCAGGTTCGATTCCAGTCAAGGGCATGTACCTTGGTTGCAGGCACATCCCCAGTGGGGAGTGAGCAGGAGGCAGCTGATCGATGTGTCTCTCTCGTCGATGTTTCTAACTCTCTATCTCTCTCCCTTCCTCTCTGTAAAAAATCAATAAAATATATTTTTAAAAAAGTGTGCATTGAATGTCTACTATCTATTAGGCACTGCTAAGTACCAAGGATACAAAAACAAAACATGATTTTAATCTTACATTGTGCCTCGGTAGACTGCTTTTCTATCTGCAGCTCATTTTATAATTCTTTTTCCCTCTCTGTATCCCCCAAAATATTTTACTATTTTGAGAGCATAATATTAACTCTATTTATCTACTCCAACAACCCTTATAATTTGCAAGTATGTACTTTCAGCAGCCATCAGAAGATTTAAATATGTCAATAATAAAATTTCCCCTACTTTTAAAGAACCCAGGTAACCTACTTTAGAAGGACGTAGAAATACTCGGTATAATTTTTGAAAAAGAAGAAGAAAGAAACTTCAGAAACATAAAAAGATATAAAACTAAAGACATTTAAACTGTAAAATACCGATTCTTAGTAGTAGTTTTCTTTTGACAGGTTCTTCATCACGTTGATTCTGCTAGTCAAGAGTCAGTGACAAAAAGAAGAAAGCTTAGTGAACCAAAGGAACATATATAAAAATTATTTTTCTTCTGCATGATTGCAAAGTTCATCTCTACATTTAAAGGATACTATATTACTATTTTAAGGTGTGTTTGCCCTACCTCTGGAAATTTATATGTAGTCTTAAGCAGTTAGTACACTAAAATGAATTCTTAGCTATCATATTGTGATCCTTAAACTTATCTAAGACAAATCCAATAGAACTTTTTAATAAAACCAAAAGAACCATTGTCATAATTGATTCTGTTTAATAGCTACTCAATATTGATCTATCTTCCATTTTGGTGGACACTTTCTTTAAACAAACATTAATTTTTTAAGGTCTTCTAAAGCCATTTTTGAAACAAATAATGTTTATTTTGGTGTTATATTTTGGAAGGAATTAACTTTTTACTTGTGTTAAAACTATACCATTTAACTGGTTTTGTTTGCAACTGTGTTATTAAAACAATTCTCTTCAGTAGTTTGATATAGTGTATTAACATGATAATATATAATGTATAATTGAATATTGGTACTTTACCTTTTTTAAAAAAATTGTTTTACTATAAGACAAAATGATAACTGATTTTAAAAGTCTGGCATTTTACAGAGCATAAATAAAATTTTGTTAAGCATCTATACTCTTTCATGGCTTCCAATTTTTATATAATTAGCAGAAAGTGTTTAGGCACTAATTTCGAGATCATTTCGGTAGATATTACTTTGCAAGAGTTGAGCACACTTCCTAGAATCTTTGAGTGGTGGTCTGAAAGACTGTGCCCTTAGTGAGAAACCCTGGACATGGTTCCAGGCTTGATCATTTCCTTTGCTTTAGAAACAGAAGTCTTAAAACTTGGTCTGCTTGCCTCTTGCGGTTTCAGCAGACATATCCTAAAAACATACATTATTCATAGGTTTGCTAGTAACAAGCGTTAAATAGAGAATGTTGGTATGTATGTGATGGTAGCAAAGTACCCATCCTGTTTAATGTAAACCAAATAAAGGTTCACAAACTGAGCCACATCAGGCTTTTCTGGAACAGGATAATTAGGAATAAGCTAATTGTCAAACACAACCAATTTTTAAATGTTTATTATTAGTTTTATTATAACCCAACACACCTCACTTTATTGTGCTGGCATACACTGTTACACTGAGATTGACCAACAGAAACCTCTCGCTCGGCAGCTGGAGCTAGCTTACTTAACATTTGGATTGGCCGGTTCGATGGGGCTTGGGAGCTCAGGCCTCTCCTCTGTTCTACCGAGGTTCCTTCATTGGATTGACCAGCTGTCAGGTTCAACCCAAACCTGCCTCCTTTTAGTGGTGTTTGTCTGGATCGCAACACAATGGGAGGGAGGAGGGGAGAGCCTCCCCTCGTAAGCTCCGATTGGCTGGACGTAACCATGGCGGTTTCTGATTGGTCCAATGAAGAAACACCAAGGTAGGTTGCCTAGCGATCCTGAGGAAGCTGATGTGTTATTCCTTTTCTGCAGCGAAGGATCAGGAAGTTTGTGCTCTTTCCTTGGCTGGGAAGTTTTTCACCTACTAGGACAAGGGTAGGGGACTGGGTGGAGGACAGGTGTTCTCCTAAAGTAGAGTGCAAGCTGCAGCCTCCCTCGGGCCGTAACCCAGGAGTAACGTCAGGTAAGCAACCGGGGAAATGCATTTCGTAACGTCAATAAATAAACCAAAACCCTCCAAATGTTTTATTTTATGGGGAAAAGGTGGTTTTGATTTATTTAAATTTTTTGCCTTTTTTTAAATAGGATTTTTAACTAGTAAATGTCCACGGGAAGGGGAGATTCATTTCTCAAAGAAACCCCCCCTCTTTCCCGCCCCCCTCCCCCAAGATTTAAAGTTTCTTGGACTGGGTTAGGAAATAAGCCCTATTTACAGTGCCAGGTAAGGTTAATGCCCTTAAGCATTTTATTTATTTCATGGCTCTCTTCGTCCTTCACTCTTTTCCACCTCCTACCAAGAATTATATTTGAAATATAGTCCTGTACAAAGAGTCTTTTGTAAGTAACTTTGTATTTCTATTTTAAAAGTTCACATGCATTTCTGAGAATTCATTTTAATCAGTATATATTTATTGAGCAGTTACAACGTTAAAGACCTTGTGCTAGTTGCTATGGAGAATAAAAAAAGCCTAAGAAGACAATATCTCTGCCCTCAAGAAGTTTACAGTTGAGAGACAGCCAGACTATAATAAATACTTTAAAGTAAGTAAGTATAAATAAAGTTTTGAAAGTACAGCTGAGGGAGAGACCAATTCTGACCGTGGGACACGGGTAATGGAGGAGACTCACTTAAGCCTCAATAGGCCTTTTAAGAATGAGTAGAATTTAAAGAGTAGGAGGAAAGGGAGAGAACTCCAACATGTACAGGGGAGCAGAGGTGAAAGACATGGCACATGTTTGAGAAATGGTTTGTTCACAGTATGGAATCGGAATTAATGGGAAATAATTGAGAAAAGATAGAATGGGATTCAGTCCCAGAGGTTCCTGAATGCATTCTTCTCTTTTTTTTTAATCCTCTCTCAAGGATATGTTTTACTGATTTCAGAGAGAGGGGGAAGGAAGAGAGAGAGAGAAACATCAGTGGTCTCCTTTAAACGTCCCCACTGGGGATGGAACCCGCAACCTTTCTGTGCATAGGAGGACACTCCAACCAACTAAGCCGCACTGGCCAGGGCTTGAATGCATTCTTTTGATGTTGCAAAATATATTCTTTTAAACAATTGCTGATTAAAAAAATATTTATTGTATATCATCTTAACAACTGGCATTTAGGTTTAGCTCAAAGTAAGCTAACTTAAACTTCATTACAAATGACAGTGCAATTTCTCTTGATTAGATTTTAAAACAAATGTAGTGCTTGGTATAAAAGGGCATGTGCTTTGATTTTTGTTGTTGGGAAAGAATTTGCTAATCTTTTAACATTATCTTGCCAGTATTTTTGTTTGTTTGTAGCTGTTTTGTTTGCAAGATGAATAGAAATGAAAGTTTTCTGGAATTACTACACATGATCTTCTGAGTGTTATTCTCTAAAGTAGTGATCTCCTAAGTGAGTTCATGAACTGAGTCATTAGGGTTTGGGAAGAAAATATTAGAACATCTATTTCTATTTAGTTTTTTAAATTTTTTACTTTATAATTTTTTGTGTATGCTTTATAATGTGCCACTGAATGTTTATAGAAGTTCTATATAAATTATCATATGCATATTTGGACTGGATGCTTACAGTTTTTTGCTGTCCCATATTATTTAACTTGGGGAGGTTCCATTTTGTGAAAGAGGAGTCACAATGATAGATAGTCACTCCTACGTTACAGATTATGCACAAGAAATCAACAGGTTTAAAAGATGATTATTTCTACTGCTCTTTAAAATTACTGATTTGATTTCTTGCCAGTGCCTTCTGTGTATTTAAGTTATGTACTTTGGAAGATATTGAATTATGTTACCCACTTAATTTTTCTGGTCATTACTCTTTCCTTTCTTTCTCTAAGTTATAAATATTTCTTATTCATATACATTTTGGTATGCATGTATAAGTATCTATATGTATTTATTTACATAGGCACACTATAAATATTTTTCATCACCCTTCCAGAAACAGTTCAGAATGACCACTTTAACTCACCGTGCCCGTCGTATGGAAGTAGGCAAGAACCCTGAAAAGAAGGTAGAAAGTGAGGAAGATTCTAATCAAGACAGGAGTTCAGACAATGAAGACTCTGGAGACTCTAAGGATATTCGCCTCACCCTTATGGAAGAAGTATTGCTCCTGGGACTAAAAGATAAAGAGGTAATGTAGTTGGGTCGGCTGGGCCATCCCAAAGTCTTAAATACGGAAATGTTTTTAGGAAGTAATAGAATAGAATATTTGTATTAATGTTAAGTTGGCCTTAGAATTACGCTGTGGACATCTTAGTGAGGAATGAGGAATTTTGGCGGTTAGCTGATACTCGGAGGGTAAAATCCAGAAGTGCAATTACTTGAAGTGTAATTTAATTACAAAATTATTCCAAAATTTTAGAGGATACAAGAGAAGATATAACACAGTGTAAAGTTTTTGTAGTTACAGTGTCCCGAGTGATAGTGATACTGAAATAACCTCTTATTAAATTAAGAAAGAAGGCCCAGCCCTGGCCCGGTGGCTCAGTTAGTTGGAGCATTGTCCCCTACACCAAAAGGTTGCAGGTTCGATTCCGGTCAGAGAACATACCTGGGTTTTGGGTTTGATCCTCAGTTGGGGCTCCTACGAGAGGTGGCCACTGATATTTCTCTGTCACTTTGATGTTTCTCTCTCTCTCTCTCCCTACCTCTATCTTTCTCTCTCCTCTCCTTTCTATCTAAGGTTAATTTTATAACCTCAGGTGAGGATTAAAAAAAGGTCAAATAAATGAAAAAGCAAAACTGACTCTCAAAGAATGTCAGAGTAGGTCTGAAGATTAGATGGTATAAATACTGTTTTGAACCCTGACCGGTTTGGCTCAGTGGATAGAGCGTCAGCCTGCGGACTCAGGGGTCCTGGGTTCGGTTCCGGTGGGGGGCATGTACCTTGGTTGGGGGCACATGCCCAGTGGGGAGTGTGCAAGAGGCAGCTGATCGATGTTTCTCTCTCATCCGTGTTTCTGATTCTCTGTCCCTCTCCCTTCCTCTCTGTAAAAAATCAGTAAAATATATATTTTTTTAAAAAATACTGTTTTGAAATGCTTACATAAGTGCGGAGGAAACATTCACTGACTGTAGAAGCAGAGCATATTGGAACTAAGAAGCTATTTTGTTTTAGTTTTGAATAGAAATTATTAATTTCCTGCTAACCCTACATACTGGATTTTTGCTTTTGTCCTGTAGAGAAACTGCCTCTGGACTTGTCTTCGTTTGTCTAAATTTATAGTAGTTGATAAAAACTTAGGGAAATAGAATTTAAAAAATAAAGCATCTCATTTAGAGCTATAATCATAGTGGGTACTCAACATATTGGTGAGATACTATACAAAGATGGGCAAATAAAAATTACCTTTCTAATTGTTCTAATTTCATTTTTGAATATGCTAAATTTAAGTTTTTAGCTTTCAGTTGTCTCAAGAAGACTAAAAAAGGATAAATCCTTAGGTGCAAATAAACAGAAGAGGTCAAACCTTTGGATATGTTAAAGTAGTAGTAGTAGTTTTCCAAAATGCCAGTTACATAACTATCTCTAAAAATGTTACATTGATTTCCAGTTCTACTCATTTTCTTCTTATTTCCCAAAGTAGATTTATTTAATCAATATTTAGTGTGATTGGGGACACCCATTATGTGCTTAGTGTTATGCAAATACTAAAGTAAATATAAAATAGCATAAATGGTCCCTGCCCCCAAGAAATTTGTATTCTAACTGGAGATAAAAGTTAACCCAAAGGACCATCAACAGTAAAATGGATAAAAATGAGTATATTTATTTAAATAAGTATAAGTATACCTCCAGCTAGTTTGGCTCAGTGGATAGAGCGTCAGCCTGCAGACTGAAGGGTCCTAGGATCGATCCCAGTTAAGGGCACTTGCCTGAGTTGCAGGCTCAATCCCCAGTGTGGGACATGCAGGAGGCAGCCAATCAATGATTCTCTTTTATTATTGATGTTTCTCTCTCTCTCTCCCCCTCTCCCTTCCTCTCTGAAATCAATAAAAATATACTAAATAAATGAGTATATTTTTAGAATGAAAATGAACATTGTTACAAAACATGTATAATTCTCATATAATGTTCAGTAAAGGAGTCCAAACACAAAAGATTACATACTATATGAATCTATATATATAAAATTCAAAAAACTATAGTATTTGCGGTTGCATGTTAGAGGTGGTAAAACTATAAAAAACAGCAGGAAAGGGATTACCATAGTTGTTAGGAGAGTGGTTACATTTTTGTGGGAGCGGAGAGGAGGTTTTAGTCATTAGAAAAGCGAATGAGGGGGTTTTCTGGGTACTAGCAGTTTTCTGTGTCTGTACTTGTGGGATATTTCATGGATATGGACTTAGGGATAATTCATTGTTTTTATCTTTCGTGTACTCTCCTATGTGTGCATTATATTTAGAAAAAACAGCAAGTCTTTCCATGTTAGAACAATAAGAGCCGAGGGAGTTAAAGGGAGGAGAGATCATCATGAGTTGGAATAATCTGGGGAAGAATAGAAGGGAGTAAAACAAGCTGGGCCTTTAAGAATGGGTAAGATTGATAGAAATGGAGAGAAGGGAATACATTGTGGATGAGGGGAACCTGAGTAAGCAAAGGTATCATGAACTTGATGAGTTTGGGAGATAACTAAGTAACCAGTATGACTGAAGTAGGCTCTGTTCTTGGAGAACAATGAAAATCAAAATTGACATATTAGATTCAGAGTATGGAGGATTTTGAGTTCTAGGCAGAGACATTTAGACTCTTTCCTTTAAGCAAAAGAGGATTAGCCTAGTGAAAACAGCAAAGCTCATTTCATTGTTGTGTCCAAATTAAGGACTTAGTGATATTTTCGCTCTATTTTGTTTCTGCATTTATATTTTACTATGTATTACTTCTTGTTTTACATGGTTTGAGAAAAATCCTAAATGTTAAACTTTGTATCCCAAAATCCCCAAATTAACTTTTGCTGAAGATTTCCATAAGACTTTCTGTTTATAAATCAATACTATAATTTTTGAAAAATTACATCTGTTTCAAAAGCATGTAAGTGGAAGATAATACAAAGAGATTAAGACTTCAAGAATTGTAGGGCTAGAAAGGAATGAGAGTAGGCCATATAGTCAAATTGCTTGTCAAATATTACTGTCATCCCTTTCTTAAGATTCTTCTGAGGAGTAGTGGCCACGGACTGGTTTTAAAATATTAAGCTTCATTGTCTTATGAAAATAATCAGGAAATTTAAAATATATGTTAAAGAATCTAACCTTTCAAATACACTTAAAATTAGATGTTATCTCAGTTCAATGACACTGACCTCAACTGAGAAAATTAAATTTGAGTCCCAGCCTGACTAAAATAAAATAGATTTGTTTCCTGTTATAGCCTGTGATAAGAATTTTGCTATAGATATTACTGACTCATGGACAACTAATGCTCTAATTAAATTGCTCGTATATTTAAAATTTCCCTTTATGAGAATCTTTATTATTAAGTTACCTATAAGAGGAGTGAGCCTATTAATGCTTATGACTTGATGGTAATATTTTTAGTTTATGGATAATATTTATTAACCCTCTTTCCTGTTTTGTAAAGCTTTCTCCTAGTATTGCCATTTATTGAATACTTACTATGCACTGGGACATAAAAACTTTTCATCATGCCTGGGGTGTGGGCTCAACCCCCAGTAGGGGGTGTGCAGAAGGCAGCCGATCAATGATTCTCTCTCATCATTGATGTTTCTATCTCTCTCTTCCTCTCCCTTCCTCTCTGAAATCAATATACCTACACTAATAAAAGAGAAACATGCAAATTGATATCACTCTGCTACGCCCACCAGCCAATCAGAGTGACTATGCAAATTAACCCAATAAAGATGGCAGTTAATTTGCATACACAGGCACAGAGCAAAGACTGAAGACTGAAGAGCCTTGGCTGCTCCACTGCAGCCATACCAAAGGCCTGGGTCCTGGGTGCTGGAGGAAAACCGGTGCCACCAGCCAGGGGAAGGAAGTCCTATTGCGCGAATCTTTGTGCAACGGGGTTCTAGTATATATATAAAAGGCTAGTATGCTAAGTGTCTGACCATCCATCTGGTCGCTATGACACGCATTGACCACCATGGGGCAGACACTCAATGCAGAGCTGTGGAGCTGCAGTGACTTGGCAGTGGTGGTTCTCGAGTGACAGACCTGAAACCAGAGAGGAGGGAGCCTGATTCCTCACTGGCTGTGCAGTTCCACCTTCAGCTCTGGGTTATGTTGTTCCTGAGGCACTGTCAGCCCTAAATCTGGTTTACTGCACACTTGCTTTTGCCTTCCACACCCTGTATAAACAGCAACTTTACAGAGTGCCCCCTCTCACTCCGGGATCCCTCGGGGGATGTTGGAGAGCCGGTTTCTGCCTGATCCCTGCAGGCCAGGCCGAGGGACCCCCACCTGCTTGAGGGACCCTGCTTACCCTGCAGGTGCCAGGGAGGGACTGTGGAGGTTGGCTCCAGGGCATGTCCGGCCCATCTCACCTAGTCCTGGCCAGCTGGCCACCTTCTAATTAATTTCCTTTCAATGTGCACAAATCTGTGCACTAGGTCATTAGTAAAAATATATTTTTTAAAAAAAAGTCTGTGGAGAGACAGGATGTAAGAAAAAAGTATGTAAGTGGGATATTTGTGATAGTTTTAGTGATTTGTAACTGGAATAATTGCCCATATTTGAAAGCATCCTATCTCCTTTAAATAAATTCGGATGTTTTGAAATTTAAGTACCAAACAGAATTGGACATGCAGCTCTGTGTTTTATTGTTTAACTTTTCTAAAATTGTGAAATATAGCGTATCTAGAAAAGAATTTAGCACTTATGTACAATTTAACAAGTAATTCTTTTATGTTTTTATTGATTTTTAGAGAGGAAGGGAGAGGGATAGAAAGATAGAAAGATCAATGAGAGAGAAAAATCAGTTAGCTGCCTCCTGCACGTCTCCCACCAGGGATCTAGCCCACAACCCGGGCATGTGTCCTGACCAGGAGTCGAACCAGTGACTTCTTGGTTCATGGGTCAGTGCTCAACCACTGAGCCACATCGGCTAGGCTTAACAAGTAATTTTAAAGCAAATATACATGTAACCACCACCAGTAGAGTACAATCAGC